TGGTAGCCCAGGCTGGCCTCGAACTCACAGAGATCCGCCTGCCTCTGCCTCCCAAGTGCTGGGATTAAAGGCGTGCGCCACCAACGCCCGGCTCAAACTCATGCTTCTTAAAATAGTATTTTTCATTTCAATTCTCAGATACCTTTTTTTTTTTTTTAATTTTATGTTCATTGGTGTCTTGCCTACATGTATGTCTGTGTGTCTGTGTGAGATTGTCAGATCTCTTGGAACTGGAATTACAGTTATGGGCCGCTATGTGGGGGCTGGGAATGGAACCCGAGTCCTCTGGAAGAGCAGCCAGTGCTCTGAACTGCTGAGCCATCTCTCCAGCCCCCAGATATCTTCTTATCTTAGTTCTTATCATCAATTTAAAGGGATCATAGGTCATAGAGAAATAACCAGAAAAATATCCGCAGCTCCTCACTTTTGTATCCCCCAGCCCCAGATCTCAGAGAGGGAGTTAGCTTAGCCAGAGCCGGAATGAATCTGACCAGGCTGAAGGCCTTCCTTCTCTCCAAGGGTACACCCGATCCAGTTCCTGAGACTCGAGGGGGGCCCCCTTAAGAGTCTGCAGCTGGACCAGACATCCAGGATTCCCTAGGCCTGTTCCTGCTGGCGGGTCCTCCCACCACAAGAGCTGATTTTCAAGTTGGGGGAAGAGGCCGGTTTACCCATCCCCCAGTTATCCCCACAACGCGGAGTCCGGGGAAGGAGGGGGAGTGGGAAGGGTGGGGGTAGTGAGAGAGCCAGGTCCTCGCTAGTAAATCAAAGTTGGTTTCCCAGAGGGAGCTGCAGCCGCCGCTTTGACTTCCTTCTCCCCTCCCCCTCTGCGTTACCCCACAAGCCCAGCTCCAGGGTTTCAATTCCACCCTGAAAAGCAGTGGGGCCTCCGCTCAAACCCGCCCAGCTCCTCCAATTCCCAACAACAGCTTAAGTTACAGGAAAGAGCGAGCGAGGGGAGGGGGGACCGAGGTGACCCCCTGCCTTGAAGCAAAGGAGAGAAATCCTGGGAGAGAGGAGGGAGAGAAGA